GGAATTTCGTTTTGAGATAATAACAATTTACTGATACATGTCCTACTAATTAACCTGAGTGAGGAGGCACAGTGGAGTTATGGATAACGACTAGGATTGACGAATTGGAGGAGCCGAGATCAAATTCCAGTCAAATCCATTACATTCACTTATGGGAAAGGTATGAATCCTCTTCTTCTCCCCTCAGCTATGGATAAATGGCAGGACAGACCGGGTTAACCTTGGATGGCAACTGGTCTATCGCAGAAAGAAATGGCAACCTACTACGGGGAAAATATGCCTCGTCAGTCTTGTATCGAAAGATATATGATCGCCTAAACGTGTATCACGTATGGCACATAACTGACTGAAATAGCCTAATTAGTATCAATGTTTGAACATGTTTCAAAGGAAGGAAAAAGGAAGACTTTCGGTATTAAGTCGTCGTTTGGGTAGAAAGTTTTACGAGTAGTGTTGGAAAATAATGTTTAAAATTTTGAGATTATACTTTCATATAGAATCTGGCTTCTTTCAGTAATTGGATAATTTCGGATAGATTAAATTTGTTGATTAAATTCTTTTAAGTTCTCTTCATGATAATATTTTGTTCAGATTAGATTTAAATCTATACAATTCACTAGAATGTGTTTAACTCTGTATTCTTCTTGGCATGCAATACACATTGATCGTTCTTTATGTTTTATTAAATGATGAAGTATGATTCGATTCTGACCTGTTCAGAGTGTGACCAATAAAAGACCCTCTCTTCTTATTGAAGAGTTCTTTTAAGTTGTCTTTATAATATTTTGTTCAGATTAGATTTAAATCTATACAATTCACTAGAATGTGTTTAACTCTGTATTCTTCTTGGCATGCAATACACATTGATCGTTCTTTATGTTTTATTAAATGATGAAGTATGATTCGATTCTGACCTGTTCAGAGTGTGACCAACAAAAGACCCTCTCTTCTTATTGAAGAGTTCTTTTAAGTTGTCTTTATAATATTTTGTTCAGATTAGATTTAAATCTATACAATTCACTAGAATGTGTTTAACTTTTCTGTATTCTTCTTGGCATGCAATACACATTGATCGTTCTTTATGTTTTATTAAATGATGAAGTATGATTCGATTCTGACCTGTTCAGAGTGTGACCAACAAAAGACCCTCTCTTCTTATTGAAGAGTTCTTTTAAGTTGTCTTTATAATATTTTGTTCAGATTAGATTTAAATCTATACAATTCACTAGAATGTGTTTTAATTCTCTGTATTCTTCTTGATCGTTCATGTTTTATTAAATGATGAACACATTGATCGTTCTTTATTGAAGAGTTTTATTAAATGATGAATAATATTTTGTTGATTCGATTCAATTCACTAGAATGTGTTTAACTCTGTATTCTTCCTGTTCAGATTCGATTCTGACCTATTCAAGTGTGACCAAAGACCCTCTCTTCTTATTGAAGAGTTCTTTTAAGTTGTCTTTATAATATTTTGTTCAGATTTGATTTAAATCTATACAATTCACTAGAATGTGTTTAACTCTGTATTCTTCTTGGCATGCAATACACATTGATCGTTCTTTATGTTTTATTAAATGATGAAGTATGATCGATTCTGACCTATTCAGAGTGTGACCAACAAAAGACCCTCTCTTCTTATTGAAGAGTTCTTTTAAGTTGTCTTTATAATATTTTGTTCAGATTAGATTTAAATCTATACAATTCACTAGAATGTGTTTAACTCTGTATTCTTCTTGGCATGCAATACACATTGATCGTTCTTTATGTTTTATTAAATGATGAAGTATGATTCGATTCTGACCTATTCAGAGTGTGACCAACAAAAGACCCTCTCTTCTTATTGAAGAGTTCTTTTAAGTTGTCTTTATAATATTTTGTTCAGATTAGATTTAAATCTATACAATTCACTAGAATGTGTTTAACTCTGTATTCTTCTTGGCATGCAATACACATTGATCGTTCTTTATGTTTTATTAAATGATGAAGTATGATTCGATTCTGACCTATTCAGAGTGTGACCAACAAAAGACCCTCTCTTCTTATTGAAGAGTTCTTTTAAGTTGTCTTTATAATATTTTGTTCAGATTAGATTTAAATCTATACAATTCACTAGAATGTGTTTAACTCTCTATTCTTCTTGGCATGCAATACACATTGATCGTTCTTTATGTTTTATTAAATGATGAAGTATGATTCGATTCTGACCTATTCAGAGTGTGACCAACAAAAGACCCTCTCTTCTTATTGAAGAGTTCTTTTAAGTTGTCTTTATAATATTTTGTTCAGATTAGATTTAAATCTATACAATTCACTAGAATGTGTTTAACTCTCTATTCTTCTTGGCATACAATACACATTGATCATTCTTTATGTTTTATTAAATGATGAAGTATGATTTGAGTTTGACCTGTGTGGAGTCTGAACAACAAAATCCCCATCTTTTCTTATCTTTCTGATGCTAAACAGTTTGTTGGCTAAGTTGAACTTCCAGTTGTCCTGATATTGATTTGTGACGAATTTATTGATGGTACGTTTAAAATCAGTAAATGATTGATTGATTTGTTTTCACGGGTTATCGATCTTTTCCAGATAATATTATTTGATTGTTAGAAATTTTGTTTGAGATAATAATCATATACTGATACAAGTCCTACTAATTAACTTAATTTATATCAATATTTGAATATGTTTCTGAGGAAGGAAAAAGGAAGACTTTCGGTATTAAGTCACCATTTGAGTAGAAGGTTTTATAAGTAGTGTTGGAAAATAAAGATTTTGAGATTATACTTTCATATAAAATCTGGTATCTTTCAGTAATTGGATAATTTCGGATAGATTAAATTTGTTGATTAAGTTCTTTTAAATTCTCTTCATGATAATATTTAGTTCAGATGAGATTTAAATCTATACAATTCACTAGAATGTGTTTAATTCTGTATTCTTCTTGGCATGCAATAAACATTGATAATTCTTTATTTTTTACTAAATGATGAAGTGTGATTTGATTCTGACCTGTTCAGAGTGTGACCAACAAAAGAGCCTCTCTTCTTATTGAAGAGTTCTTTTAAGATATCTTCATGATAATATTTTGTTCAGATTAGATTTAAATCTATACAATTCACTAGAATGTGTTTAATCTCTATTCTTGTCATGCAATACACGCTGATGATTTTTCATCTTTCATTAGATGATGAAATGTGATGTGTTTTGACCTGTTCGGAGTCTGATCAAAAAAAGACTCTCTCTTCTTCTCTTTCTAAATCCTGGTTTTCCAATTTACTGGACTGCATTCTAAATAGTTTTTTGTCTGAGAGCTCCATTGCTTCTGTTGTTTATTTCAGATGAATTCATTTATGGTAGAGTTTAGAATCAGTATAAAAGTTATTTTGTATTTGACTGATTAATATTTAGTGCTTTCTTTGTCACTGAATCACCGAAGTTAAGCAACATTGAGCCTGGACAGTAATTAGATAGATAAGAGCTCAGTATTAGCAGTTGCTGGAAGTCTGGATGTGCGACTGGTGTAATGGATAATGGATCGGAATTGTTAATTGGAGAATAGAATTCCAATTCCTGTTGGGTTCGTTATATTCATTTACACGCAAATACCCTTGGAAAAGATATGAATCCACCACTTATACCCCCAGCTATGGGTTAATTAGTAAGACATATTACTAAAACCATTATTATCTCAATAAATATTCTTAGAATCTAAAATCATTTAATGGTTTTATCCTAATATCTAATCTCTAATCTGGCTGTGATTGCTGCATAATCTCAGCGCAGATAAAGAAGAGACTTGAGGCAACGGAAATGTGTTTCTACAGAAGGATGCTGAGAATGCCATGGACCGAAAATGTAAGCAACGATAATGAGAAAGTTTCAAAGAAAATAGAAACAAAAAGGTCGCTTATAATTAACATCAGAAGTAGACACTGAAATTTCTCGAGCATATAATGAAGAAAGAAGGTTTAGAGAGTCTGACACTCACTGGACATAATGAAGGAAAAAGGATCAAAGGGAAACAACGAGTAAACTACCTAAAGAGCTTGGATATATGGTTGGCAGAACAGGGATTAGGAGAGATAGCAAAAAGACAATTTTTGCTAAGAGCTATAAAGGAAAGGACGTAGTGGAGAGCCATGAATGTCTACCTTTCTGGAGGTACACCGCACACAGAAGAAGTACTTTATATGGAGTCTGCGAAAGAGATACATTTATTGTTTGTTATTACGTCAAGTCGATAAATTTTGACATCCTAGGCAAAAATGCATATTTTCAAGAAATGAAATTTTCAACAACATTTTATTGAATTGTAATATTAACAAATAGCATCTTCAATATGATTTGCATCATTTGTGATACAAAGGTTGATGCACTTTGCAATATTCACGTGAAATCGATGGAATAACTGCACATTGCAGTCAATTTTAGCACATTCATTCTTTATGCGTTCAATCAAGTGTGTTGCATCTGTGATTAACATGTGAGTACATATTATACTTTAGCATAGCTCAGAAAGAGAAGTCAATTCTTTCTTCTTTCAACAAAACCATGTTTAATCTGTGGAGGTAACAAAAGTCTTCTCTTGAAATTTATTCAAGGAGGATTGATATTACACAGTAGTTCATCACAAATAAGTCCGGTAAGAAGACATATTCTTTATTCTCTTTTCCATTTTTACATAATTAGTAAATTCATTTTCTCTCTCTAAGCAGGCGTCTGGCTCCAAGTATGGGTGGCCATCCATGTGAGGAAACTGTCCAGCATTCACTGCTATATATGAGGATATTACATAGCAGTTCATCACGAATAAATCCAGTGACATTGAAATATTTTAGAGAAAATTGGTTGGTTGATATGGTTTAGCGTCATATGGGTTATTCAATACCGAAATCTAAATATTTTGAACACAATTTTATGGCTTCAACTACAGCTATTTTGAACGCAATTGTATGCCTTCAACTACTGATAAAATGTATTGTTGGTCACTTTACTACAGATTGTAGGAGAAAGAAAGAACGAAAGGAAGAAAGAAAGAAAGAAAGAGATGGAGAATGAAAAAAGAAAGAGAGGGAGAACGAAAGACAGAGAGGGAGAAAGAAAGAAAAAAGAAAGAAAGAAAGAAAGAAAGAAAGAAAGAAAGAAAGAAAGAAAGAGATAGAGAAAGAAAGAAAAAGAGCGAGAATGAAAGAAAGAGAGTTGGTTGGTTCATTTTGCATCGCGGCATATCAACACCTCTATGGGTTATTTAATGCCGAAATCTAAATATTTTGAACGAAATTGTATGCCTTCGACTACAGATAAAATATATTGTTCCTATTTCTTATATAAAAATATATTTTTTATACATTCATAGCGTTTTGTTTTTGTTGTGGCGGTCCCTTTTTCCTTATACTTGGGATCCTAACAGGTGCTACCACCACGGGCCGGGGTGAACTTAGGAGCAACAGAAATTAAAAAGGGTTATCACGCTCATCAAAGCCTCTAATTTCTCGAGCAGAGGCATTGCTCTCGGATGTACTTTATTGTCCTACCCAGGACTGTTTATTTAATTCTTTTTAATTTTGGGATTCATTTTAATTTTAATTAAGTTTCTAGGAGTAATTCCTTAATATCCGTCGTCCCAATAATGAAATGATGACAATGACTTCAACTGTTTCCGTCCTGGGTAAGACGATAAACTACATCCAAGAGCAAGGCCTCTGCTCAGGAGGTTTTAATGAGCGCGGAACAACTTCTTTATTGCTGGCGTTCCCATGTTCACTCTGATTCAGGGTGTTAGCACCTGTTAGGGTCCCAGCTATGGGCAAATAATTAACCCCTAAACTGGGGACAAAACACTATGAAATTGTAATAATAGGTTTTAATACCAGCAATACATTTTTGTAAAAATATTACCAGCAATGAATTTTTGAAGGAATAAATATTGCCAGCAATCCATTTTTGAAAAACAAGAAAACATTAGAGTTTGTCTATATTTCTGAGATGAGGTATTATGTACAGTATTTACATTAGTCGGACTATTGTCCTCATCTTTGTCGCCATATTTGTCACAACGTTTCGGCTGTTGTACGCTCCGGCCTTCTTCAGGTGGTTGGAATTTCGAACTGAACCCTTTATTTCGATCACTGGGGTAGACTGTTCTAATTCCACGTGCCATGTTTGATGGATGTCAGTTATCAGTTATCTCCTGCTAATTTTCCCTCTGAAAGTTCTCCACTGCCTTAACCAGGAATTGAACTCACCTTCTTTGGGTCTGTCACTGGATCTAACCAACGCCTTTATCCACTGTGCCATGTGTCCTTGAGGACATGATCTGCGGAAAGGAATATAAAGGAGAGACAGGCCGCCCCCTCAAGGTAAGGATTCAAGAAAACCAGAAAGCTGTAACGCGAGGGGAAGTAGAAAAATCAGGCGTGGCTGACCACATATGGAGAGAGAAGGAGATCACCGCCCCTGTGGGATCATGTTCAGATCATAGACAGGGAACACCATTGGAAAATTCGTAAACTTAAGGAATCAGCACATATGCTAGGCCACAAAAATCTCATGAGCCGACCAATCATAGAAATAAATACAATATGGGAACCAGTAATAAGGAGTGCCAGAGTAAAGTAATGATAACAAAAGTTGCAATATGAACTCTGGTAAAGACATGCAATGATAACAGCAAAAATTGCAATATGAGCACTGGTAAAAATGATGCTGAAAACATTAGGTTTATAATACCCAGAAGGACACATGGCACAGTGGATAAGGGTGTTGGTTAGATCCAGTGACAGACCCAAAGAAGGTGAGTTCAATTCCTAGTTAAGGCAGTGGAGAACTTTCAGAGGGAAAATTAGCGGGAGATAACTGATAACTGACATCCATCAAACATGGCACGTGGAATTAGAACAGTCTACCCTAGTGATCGAAATAAAGGGTTCAGTTCGAAATTCCAACCACCTGAAGAAGGCCGGAGCGTACAACGGCTGAAACGTTGTGACAAATATGGCGACAAAGATGAGGACAATAGTCCGACTAATGTAAATACTGAAGAAAACATTAGCAGCAATACATTTTTGAAAAAAAATAGTTTTAGCAATACATTTAAAAAAAAAAACAACCAAAAAAACATTAACACGAACACATTTTTTAAGAAAGGAATATTATCAATACATTTTGGAAAAAAAATATTACTAGCAATATATTTCTGGAGAAAAAACATTAACAGCAACACATTTTTGAAAAAAAAAATATTGCCAGCAATAAAAATGTTTTCAGGATTCAATAACCCATTTAGGCTGATACGTTGTAAACGGGACCAAACTCACTTAAAATGTTTTAAACAAATGTCTGTATACATATATTTCTTTGTGTAGAAATCGAAAGAAAAGAAAATTGTGTAAAGAACAAAGTTATTTTGAACAAATTACGTAAATTGTGATTAAATTCTGATCGTGTAAGTTCTTTGTAATACAAAATTTTAATTAAGAAAGTGTGAAAAGTTAATTTCGAAGGTGGTTCATCCAGCTGATGTATGTATGTTGGTTGTACCGAGTTCGTTAATTTCTATCGGGTTCTCATGTTCTCAGAAGTGTTAGGTGTGCGTGTGAACATGGGCGAATAATGGTGGGAGGAGCAAGATGTTGAAGTCTGCTTCGATGTGTTTGTCAAAATTTACCATTCGGCGGTAGAAATTGATTGGAAGCAGACGACACTGAAAAGTATGAACATTGAAATAAATCGAGTATTTGAAACACCTTCTGCACGCCTTAGGAAAAAAACAAATAGCGGAAAAAGAAAAAAAAAATACTGGAACTGATTTCAGCTATTTATAAGAATTTGATGGCTAACTTTTACTGAGATGAATTCGCTAATGGCACCAATATTCAGAAAACATAAAACGATTACTCAGCAACTAATTTGGGCACATCATTTTGCTTACAATTATCATTACTTGGCAGTGAATTATTTAAAGAAAACAACCATAACTAATAAACAACGGTGTGGTGCAATGGCTAACAAGCTTGTCTCTTGCGATTGAGTTCGATTCTCACTGGGTGCTCCAAACTTTCGGCCTTGTCTTACATCTAAGGTAGAAAATTCATCTAGAGCACATCGACGTGGTGTAATGGTTAGCAGGTTTGTCTACCTAGAAACATTATGAGTTTGATCCTCACCGGGTGCTTTATACTTTCGGCCTTTTCCCACGTCCGAACTACGCTTAGAAAATCATTTGGGAACTTCGATGTGGTCTTATGGTTAGCAAGTTTGCCTCCCTAGATCAATTACGACTGAGTAGTGAATTCGATCCTCACTGAGTGCTCCAAACTTTCAGCCTTGGGCCATATCTAACCTAAGCATAGAAATTCATTATACCCTTGACTTTTAAATGCCATGCGTGATACACGCTTAGGCGATCATGTATCTTTCGATACATGACTGACGAGGCAGATTTTTTTCCCGCAGTAGGTTACCATTTTTTTCTGCGGTAGACCAGTTGCCATCCAAGGCAACCCGGTCTGTTCTACTATTTACCCATAGCTGGAGAAGAGGATTCTTACTTTTTCCCAAGTGAACGTAATGGATTCGACTAGAATTCGAACTCGGCTTTCCGATTCCTCCCTCCGAGCCGCTATCCATTACAGCACCGTGCCTTCTGTCTGTTATTTAAATTATTACCAACTTAGACTGTTTTTACATTTATTTAAGTAACAAAGTGATCGTTCTAAGTAACCAGCTAATCGAAATAAGTGCTGTGTAATTTCTTGCATTTGTGTTAATTCGAGACAAGCGATTCTATATTAAATTTCATCCAATACAAAGAAAAACCTGTATTTACCTTTTTGACTCGTACAAGCCAAAATTAATGGCTATCTTTTTCCGTCCTGGGTAGGAGGATAAACTACATCCGCGTCCTGGGTAAGACGATAAACTACATCCAACAGCAAGGCCTCTGATCAGGAGGTTTTGAGGAACGTGCAACCACCTCTTAATTGCTGGTGTTCCTTGGCCCACCTTGACCAAGGAATAGTAGCAGCTGTTAGGGTCCCAGCTATGGGTAAATAGTTAATCCCCAAACTGGGGTCAAAACACTATGAAAGTGTAAAAATAGTTTTAGCGAAGATTTAAACAAAAATTAGATATACTTTAATATCAGAAAGAGACAGTTGTAATGTATATACTTATATAATGTTTAATGAGGAAAAAGGGCTTCTCAAATTTGACACAAACTGGACATTTTGAAGACAAGAGGGACAGCAGAAAGCAACGCATAACCTACCTAATGAGTTTGTGTAAAGTGTTGGCTGAACAGAGTTCAGGAGAAATGAGAAAAAGACAAGATTTCAAACACCTATAGAGAACAGGAGATTGTGGAGAGCCATGATTGCCAACGTCCTAAAAGAACACGGTAGAAGAAGAAGAAGAAGAAGAAGAAGAAGAAGAAGAAGAAGAAGCACTTCAACAAAATCTTTTCTTTCTTTCTTGTTAACGAAAAAATTCCGTTTCTCACTACTTTGTTCAATTTTTGCGGTCTTATCTAATAAGCTTGTGTGGGCGGATATTAAAAGAATAAAAAATTGCTCAGAGGTAAAAAGAATAAGAAGCTTTAAAGAACCACGATCGCCCACGTCCTGAAGGGGATGCAAATAAAAAGATTTAAAATTGACGAGTTTTCCATTTCACAAAAGCAGATGTTAAAGACACGAGAGCATTATCGCCTCCTCTGTCTACTCTTTAACTTTCTTTAACTTTCTTTCTTTCTTTTTTTCTTTCTTTCTTTAACTCTGTTTCTTTCTTCCTTTCTTTCCTACCTTTCTCTTTTTTCCATAGTTTTCTTTCTTTCTTTCTTTCTTTCTTTCTTTCTTTCTTTCTTTCTTTTTTCTTTCTTTCTTATCTAATCTCTTTGTCTTTCCATAGCTTTCTTTTTCTTTCTTTCTTTCTTTCTTTCTTTCTTTCTTTCTTTCTTTCTTTCTTTCTTTCTTAACCTTCTTTCTTTATTTCTTTCTTTCTTTCTTTCTTTCTCTTTTCTTTCTTTCTTACCTAATCTCTTTGTCTTTCCATTTCTTTCTTTCTTTCTTTCTTTCTTTTTCTTTCTTTCTTTCTTTCTTTCTTTCTTTCTTTCTTTCTTTCTTTCTTTCTTTCTTTCTTTCTTACATAATCTCTTTGTCTTTCCATAGCTTTCTTTCTTTCTTTCTTTCTTTCTTTCTTTCTTTCTTTCTTTCTTTCTTTATTTCTATAACCTTCTTTCTTTCTTTCTTTCTTTCTTTCTTTCTTTCTTTCTTTCTTTCTTACCTAATCTCTTTGTCTTTCCATAGCTTTCTTTCTTTCTTTCTTTCTTTCTTTCTTTCTTTCTTTCTTTCTTTCTTTCTTTCTATAACCTTCTTTCTTTCTTTCTTTCTTTCTTTCTTTCTTTCTTTCTTTCTTTCTTTTACATAATCTCTTTGTCTTTCCATAGCTTGCTTTCTTTCTTTCTTTCTTTCTTTCTTTTCTATAACCTTCTTTCTTTTCTTTCTTTTTCTTTCTTTCTTTCTTTCTTTCTTTCTTTCTTTCTTACCTAATCTCTTTGTCTTTCCATAGCTTTCTTTCTTTCTTTCTTTCTTTCTTTCTTTCTTTCTTTCTTTCTTTCTTTCTTTCTTTCTTTAACCTTTCTTTCTTTCTTTCTTTCTTTCTTTCTTTCTTTCTTTCTTTCTTTCTTTCTTTCTTTAACTCTCTTTCTTTAACTCTCTTTCTTTCTTCCTTTCTTTCTTACCTTTCTCTTTTTTCCATAGTTTTCTTTCTTTCTTTCTTTCTTTCTTTCTTTCTTTCTTTCTTTCTTTCTTTCTTTCTTTCTTTCTTTCCTTCTTAATCTCTTTCTTAATCTCTTTTTTTCTTTCTATAACCATATTTCTTTTTTGTTTGTTTGTTTCTTTCTTTCTTTAACTCTCTCTCTCTCTTTTTTTCTTACCTTAAGAATGTGATATATCTTTTCCGGTTTTCCTGTCGATTAAAACGGAATAAATTTATTGTAAGTTTAGTTTTAATTGGTAATAATTTTTTCTTCAAAACTTTATTGCTGTTAATAATTTTTTACAAGATATATTGCTGGTATTAAAAACCTATCTTTACACTTTCATTGTGTTTTGACCCCATTTTAGGGGTTAACTATTTGCCCATAGTTGGGAACCTAACAGTTGCTACCACTACAGGTCAGAGTGGACCTGGGAACACCAGCAATTAAGAGATGTCTCCACGCTCCACAAAACTCTGTTATCAGAGGCTTGCAGTTGGACGTAGTTTATCGTCTTATCCAGGTCACCGGATATAGTTTATAGTTTTACCCAGAACGTGGATGCATTTTATCGTTTTACCCAACACGGTTTATCGTCATACCCAAGACGCTATAAATCTGTTCGTTTCAATAAGTCAATTTGGCAGCTGATCTTAACAATGACATAGTATTTGTTGTTAACTGAGGTAAGAAATAGTGTGTTAATTTTAACGCCTCCAAAACGACTCTGCTCTATTTTAATCGAGTTAAAGAACGTTTTTTGCCTTTCTCCAGTATGGCTGATGCTAACCTCCAGAAAAGTGACTCTTTACGCTTTCAAGAGCTGTCATTTTCCATTGCTGATTTGGATGTTGCTTCCTTGTGTCGTGCCAGACAATTTTTATAACCTGAATCTTACACATTTATAAATTTACCATTCTTCCATGCATTGAATATTACTGTCACCTGATCTGGTGCTTCTATGATATATTTAGAGATGCTTGATAAAATCCGATGATATCGGTCCTGACTTAACTTAAGTCATTTTCCCACCGCTGTAAGGTAGCCTCACTGCACACTTTCTATAAATAATTTATAGTAATCATTCCGTTGAGCTTTCCTCTTTGGTACCTAAACTTTAAAAATTAAGCCTAGTACTAGATTGGAAGTTAGGTCTCATCATTTTACATTTGGGATTACTAGATGTAACCGTAAGATCTATGATCCCAGTTTCTTCTCTCGCACTTCTTGCTTGTAGATTTCTTTTCCGGCTTCTTGCTTTCTAGTCAATTTTGATCTTGAAAAGCGTAAATACAATGTCAATCGTTATCTCCTGTCTTCTTGATTTCTGTTCTTTTATGGTTCTCCCTTCTTAATATTGCTTTTCCTTTTCTCATGTTATCTCAGAGACAGTAACTACTTGTGTCTTAGCGGCTTTATTGCCTTGCTTAGGATGAAATGATTAATAAGAAATACTCTTGGACAAGAAGAATCTGCAATGTTATTGGTCCTTACCTGGCATCACAGTCACATTCCTATCATCGTAACATTGCTTCGGTGAGCCTTTTCTATAAATACTTTCATGCTAATTGTTCTGTTCTTTCCTCTATCCTACCTAAACATTATGAATTTAAGCATAGTACTACTAGATTGGTGACAAAGTCTGATCATTTTACATTTAAAATGGCTAGATATAACCCTAAGTTCTATTCTAACAGTTTTTTTTTAATATAAAAAAGTAGTATGAAGATGACATAATAACCAAATGCTTTACAATCAACTTTGATCTTCAAAAATGTAAATACAATGTCAATCGTTATCTTCTGTCTTCTTAATTCTTCTTCTTTTATTGTTATATCTCGTTGATGGTATTTTTTTCATATTTTCTAACACACTTGCCTTTTAGTTGTTTTATAGCTTATATCATTTTCCCACCGCCATGATGTAACTTCTTGGTGTCGTTTATATAAATATTTTCCTGATAATTGTTCTGATGAGTTTTCTCTTTTTACACCTAGACTTTATGAATTTAAGTTCAGTACTAGATTGGAAGGTAGGTCTCATCATTTTATAGTTTAAATGGCTAGGTGTAACTGTAAGTTCTATGTGGTTTCTTCCATCACAATTCTCACTTGTGTAACTCTCCACTATCTGCTTGCTTTACAGTCAACTTTGACCTTCAAAAATATAAATACAATATCAATTGTTATCTTCTGTCTTCTTAATTCTTGTTCTTTTATTGTCCCCTCCCCTTAATAATGTTTTTTTCTTTTCTTTTTTTATTCTATAATATTCAGTATTTCCTTGCATCGTGGTGGGTTTATTGCCTTGGTTGGGGTGAAATGATAAAAAAAATAGTATGAAGCTGACATAATAATCAAATGCTTTACAATCAACTTTGATCTTCAAAAATATAAATACAATGTCAATCGTTATCCTCAGTTTTATTCATTCTTTTTCTTTTGTTGTTCTCCCTCCTGAATAATGTTTTGCTTTCCTCAGATTCTCTAACAATCATTAACCCCTTGCTGTCTTTATTACCTTGCTTGGGGTGAAATGATTATATAAAAAAGGTCCATTATTTATTAGGTATTGACAGGGCGTCACGTAAGGGTTAACTAGCTAAATAACCAAATAACACATCTAAATAAACAAGGAACAATTAGACTTGTAATATGATATTATTTTATATCAATGTTGAGTGTTGAACTGATGAACATGTCAAGGTAAGGAACAAAAAGGCGTAATTAATCCACATGACGACTTTACGTCCGTGAACATCGTTTAGAACTGGCTAGTCTCGTCCTGTCAGAAAAGGATCAAGTTACTTACTTAACACCAAGCTTTAGCGATCACGAATGCTGCTTCCTTATGGACGAATCAGAAGCGAATAAATTGGTTCCCCCACCAGGCTTTTCTGATGAGGATCTTATCGGTTCTGTGCCTTGTTATTGTTCGCTCTCCTTATGTTTTCTTTTTTTTCTTTCATATTCTCTCATACTGAGTAACCCCCTTGCGTCGTAGTGGCTTTATTGCCTTGATTGTGGTGAAATGATTAAAAAAAGCCCATTATTTATTAGAGGTGAAGATCAAAGTTGGATTCTCCAATGGAATCCAGTACCACGTGTCTGTGAGACGAAGATGACCCGTCAAGTTGGAGGACATGGACTGTGGTTTGATTTGAAGACAGATCGACTTCACCAGGTCTATTCGTCCAAGACACGCCGTGCATTAATAAATACTTGTCCCAAATATATGAAAGAAACTGGTCAGCTATGCAGCTACGCAAACACCCTAAGACCACATCCGATAATAGGACTGATGATGCACCATGTTGATACTAGACTTTCTGTATTTAACCACAGTACTAGATTGGAAGTTAGGTCTCGGCAGTTTACAGTTGAAATGGCGAGATGTAACTGTAAGTTGTATGCAGTTTCTTCTATCTGGGCTTAAAAAGCTAAATAATAAAATCTAAATAACTAAGAAACAAGCAGACTTATTATTTTGTATCGATGTTGAGTGTTGAACTGATGTACAAGGATTCACTACTCATAGCACAGGTGTTCCAGTTGTTTAACTGAATTAGATGTTATACACTAAACAAGAATCAATTCAGACAGCCTTTCAAAGATGACCGCGAAGTCTTTATCAAAATATCGACGTCATATCTAGTTCATACGAATGAAGAGCGCGAATCAATATGGACATTTTATTTCTGTTTTCTGTCTGTCCATGCATGAAGAAAGAAAATTGGCAGGAGATTTCACAATCTTAATCCGACGAAATCGAGCGTGTGTCCGGAGAAGGGTACCAAATACAAAAAGATCTGTACGTTTTACGGTTAGTGATTCAAAGGCCTTGGACAGATATACGCAGACATAAAAACGAGTCGCTTACTTTGACGATTATCAGTCGAATGAACAGTTATTGTACACTTAACTGCTTCCAATCTGAACAAGCCAAGGTAAGGGACCAAAAGGCGTGATTAATCCACATGATGACCGTAAATAGGTGAACATCATTCGAGCCAGGGTCAGTCTTGTTCAGTCAGTGAAGGGTTAAGTTTCTTTGCATCAAGGTTTTTCAGTGTTGCTTCCGCATGTTCGAGTCATTTTCTCCACAGCTTTATCAGATTTCCTATGCCTTTCCTATAAATATTTTTAAGGTAATTATTCTGATAAGCTTTCCTCTTTGGTAGCAAGATTTTATAAAAATTTAAGCGCTGTCCTAGATGGACATCTAAATGCCAACATTTTGAAAAGGCTCGATGTAACCGTAAGTTCTATGTAAACAGTTTCTTCTCTTGCATTTCTCGCTTGTAGAATTCTCTTTCAGCTTCTTCTTTCACAATCAACTTTGATTTTCAAAAATTTAAATGCATTGTCAATCGTTATTCTTATGGTCCACGTTAGGAGCAAGGAAGAACAACACGAACACAAGAGTAGAAATAACGAAGGTATATTACACGAAATAATAATACAAGATGTGGAAGGTGTTAGTATGACTGTCAGTCTGGTTTGGAATGAACTATTATCAGCTCGACTCGATTCGATATTTACTTGAACACGAGGGAGAGATGTGGCACAAGGCCGAGTTTTACGTGGGTTTTCCGAGCACGTAAGCTCGGCCAAAAAATACCCGTAGAAACTGTAAAAGCAGAATCGGGTTGGTCAACCTCCCCGAACGAGTCCCTCCCTGCTCAGAGGCAGAGAGTTCGACCGTCAAGCCGAAACGGCTCGACTCGATATTTACTTGCCTCACCCCACGAGGGAAAGATGTGGCACAACGCCGAGTTTTTTCGTGTGTTTTCCGAGCCCGGAGGCTCGGCCAAAAAATGCCCGTAGAAACTGTAAAAACAGAATCGGGTTGGTCAACCTTCCCGAACGAGGCCCTACCCTTCGGCGTAGCCTCGTCCGGGTTCCTCTCTGTTCAGAGTCAGAGAGTTCGACCGTCAAGCCGAAACGGCTCGACTCGATTCGGTATCTAGCTGATTTCAGATACACTTTATATGACGTTTTCTGATTTGTGAAGATACTATTTATTATCTGCTCTCGAAACCATCTATCTACCTTTCTATCTAAGTCCGACCATCTCTCTCTCTCTCTCTCTCTCTGATCACTATTTTCCTTTTTAATTTCCTTCTTTTATTTGAACAAAGCTTTCCTTCCTTTTATTCCCTGTATTTTCTTTCTTTCTTTGATTAACATTTTCCATCCATTCTCCTTTCCTTTCTTTTTATGAACGTATTTTCTTCTTTTCATTCCATCTATTTTCCTTCTTTCTTTCTTTCTTTCTTTCTTTCTTTCTTTCTTTCTTCGATCAGGATTTGCGTTACTTCTTTTATAGAAAAATAAATTTCTGTTCTCTTTATTTTCTTTCTTTTTTCTTTCATTCATTCTTTCTTTCTTTCTTTCTTTCTTTCTTTCTTTCTTTCTTTCTTTCTTTCTATGTCACTATTTTCCTACCTCCCTTCCTTTCTTCCTTCCTTCACATGAACTTATTTCTTCCCTTCCATGTTTCTATTTTCTTTCTTTCTTTCTTTCTTTCTTTCTTTCTTTCTTTCTTTATGTGATCAGGATTTTCATTCCTTCCTTTATATGAACATAAATCCTTCTTCTTTCTGTTCCCTTTATTTATTTTCTTTCTTTCTTTCTTTCTTTCTTTCTTTCTTTCTTTATGTGATCAGGATTTTCATTCCTTCCTTTATATGAACATAAATCCTTCTTCTTTCTGTTCCCTTTATTTATTTTCTTTCTTTCTTTCTTTCTTTCTTTCTCTTTCTTTTTTTTATGTGATCAGGATTTTCATTCCTTCCTTTATATGAACATAAATCCTTCTTCTTTCTGTTCCCTTTATTTATTTTCTTTCTCTCTTTCTTTCTTTCTTTCTTTCTTTATGTGATCAGGATTTTCATTCCTTCCTTTATATGAACATAAATCCTTCTTCTTTCTGTTCCCTTTATTTATTTTCTTTCTTTCTTTCTTTCTTTCTTTCTTTCTTTATGTGATCAGGATTTTCATTCCTTCCTTTATATGAACATAAATCCTTCTTCTTTCTGTTCCCTTTATTTATTTTCTTTCTTTCTTTCTTTCTTTCTTTCTTTCTTTCTTTCTTTCTTTCTTTATGTGATCAGGAATTTTCATTCCTTCCTTTATATGAATTTTCCTTTATTTATTTTCTTTCTCTTTCTTTTTCTTTTCTTTCTTTCTTCCTTTTTATGTGATCAGGATTTTCATTCCTTCCTTTATATGAACATAAATCCTTCTTCTTTCTGTTCCCTTTATTTTTCTTTCTTTCTTTCTTTCTTTCTTTCTTTCTTTCTTTCTTTCTTTATGTGATCAGAATCAGGATTTTCTTTATTCCTTTCCTTTCTTTCCCTTTATGAACTTTCTTTCCTTCTTCTTTCTTTATGTGATGATTTTCATTCCTTTTATTTAAATCCTTTTCTTTTTCTGTTCCTTTATTTATTTTCTTTCTTTTCTTTCTTTCTTTCTTTCTTTCTTTCTTTATGTGATCAGGATTTTCATTCCTTCCTTTATATGAACATAAATCCTTCTTCTTTCTGTTCCCTTTATTTATTTTCTTTCTTTATTTCTTTCTTTCTTTCTTTGATCAAGATTTTCTTTCCTTTCTTTATATGAACATTAATTTTTCTTGTTTCAGTTCCGTTTGTTTTCTTTATTTCTTTCTTCTTCTTTTCTTTCTTTCTTTCTGTGATCAAGATTTTCCTTCCTTCCTCTATGTGAACATAAATCTTTCTTTCTTCTTTTCTTTCTTCTTTTCTTTCTTTCTTTTTTTTCTTTCTTCCTTTCTTTCTTTCTTTCTTTCTTTCTTTCTTAATCTCTTTTTCTTTCTATAACCTTCTTTCTTTCTTTCTTTCTTTCTTTCTTTCTTTCTTTCTTTCTTTCTTTCTTTCTTTCCGTGATCAATATTTTCCTTCCTTCCTCTATGTGCACATAAATCTTTCTTTCTGTTCCCTTTCTTTCTTTCTTTTTTCTTTCTTTCTTTCTTTCTTTCTTTCTTTGTCGATAACGATAGAATAAATTTCCTTGAAAAGACGCAATTTCATATATTAAAAAAGAACAGCCTTTCTACGCTCGGCCATTTTCCCATTTCTTTCACAATCAGTTATTTGAATACATTTTAGGAATCTATCATCTACTATTTTGTGCTAATATTTTTGGCTTTCAGTAACGGACAGGAGAAGTTATGTCTTCTATAAGAATACAAATATAATTTCTACATTTTGATTTTGGTCTCATAACAAATCAAACATTTCAATCAGAGTTTTCTTTTGTAAACATTTAAAAGTTTTCACTCAAAATAAATTAGGAAGAGTACAAAAATCTTGCTTTTTATGGAAAGTTCGTCTGCAACATTTTGAGAAATGTCGGCAGACGTATATTTCCAAAGTGTTACCGATGTTTATTTTATAAGAACAGGACCAAATAGTAGCAAGCGTGACACTTAAGCAATATCAACAACAACTACAACAACTAATTTTTCTACAATGATATGCACCATGTACAAAGCTCGGGAGACACTCGAGGTAGATGTTTATGCGTATATATGTAAAACGTAAGGAATAACCATAGTCTTCAACAGGTTGAAGCTGTAGTGGTCCGGGAAGCAACCACTTGGCAGTTGATCCCACAAGGATGTCTTTAGTGAGAAGAAGTTGCTTGAATGGAACATATATATCTTACCAATGTAACACGAAGGGAATGAAGGTCTTTAGTTATACTTGTCTGAACGGCCACTGTTCACTGAAGATTTAATTAAATCTCCTATACTGGTTGTCAAATATGGCCAGAGAGACCTGTGTGGTCTGCTATTATTATTCATATATATATATATATATATATATATATATATATATATATATATATATATATATATATATATATATATATAAAATCATCAGTTACCTGCATCGCCTGAGAAAGTACAATAATAGTATTGAAATATGAAAGCTCTCGTGTATCGAATGTTTTTGTTATAATCTCTTATAATAAAAATATAACAATAATAATATATTGCTCTAGCTTTTTGTTGAGCACTTTTTTAAAAGTAAATGCTACGTACAGTGAATTTTTACTTCATCTGTTACTTCTCCCCTGTGTTATATATATATATATATATATATATATATATATATATATATATAAATTAACTGATTTAAAAATATGGTTCATTCTCTACACAGGAATTACCATGTTTCAAAACAGAAGCTAAAAAATTAAAAGCATTAGTTCTGTTTCATCTTCAAACAAATTTTAGAATAACTTATTTTTAAATATACCTAGTTTTAACCGCACATACCTTTCATAACTTTTTGTTTCCAGGGATACATAGAAATCCAATCATTTAGACAGGAGCGAAACCATGTTCATTTTTTATTAACTATTATTGTATCAATTATGAGTTACGTTCGAAAAAGAGGTTAAGTCTAGGTAGGATAGGGGTGCATTTTTCAATGAATTATGACATCCGTCCAACGCATGTCGTCTGCTTTTTTTTTTATCAACGAGAAAAAGGTTTTCGGCATTATTTCCGTTAAATTCGTACTTGTATAGATAAAGATTCTTTCTAAAAGAGCTGTTTGGTTTAGAATACTTTATATTTGAACTACAATTTTAAAATATTATTTTTACTCTTAATTACTAATAGACTATATTTCTTTTTAAAATAAATAAATATAATAGAATTACTTAATTTATTAAAATATTATTTTTACATATAAAACATAAGTGTGTCTATTACCAGCTCCCATTTTTATAAATATTTTATTTTTAAATATTATTTAAGGGAAATTTTTGACAGTGTTTGCGCAAAGAATAGCTATTTCATTTCTTTGATTCAGTAAATTTTTATTTTTTATAAACTTAGTAATATATAGTTTCTCACGTATGCACAAAGAACATGAGTCATTTAATGACCTACATATTCGAGCATTTCTTATCAATTTTCATTTTACTGTAGGTGTTTTCTTGGTTTCTTTTAAGTTCCAGAAATATTTCGATACTTATGCTCTGTAAATTTACATTGAGCACTGTTTTTTAAAAATAAAAATATCAATAAGAACACCGGATTATATATCTTACTGTTCTTTCTTTTTACTATAATATATATATATATATATATATATATATATATATATATATATTATGAAATGAACAAAGACCGATAAATATTTTAAGACATTTTCATATTTTTACATTCTTTTTTTTTTAGATACAAATATTAAATGCTCTGTTTTATAATAAACAGTATTAACAACATTTACTGGCCCGAATGTACGTGAAATTTTCATAGAAAATATTCATCCTCCGGCATGAATCGTACGAGGAATTGTCATGGAAGATTTTAGTTTAAAAATAGTAAAATCGACCTCGATAACCGAACGCTACATTGTGGCGAAATCGTCAAAAGCGCGTCAGTCTATATGACGGTTCCGTATAGGGTACAGGTTCGAATCCTGTCGATAGACGCATATCTTCTATGACAATTTCTCGGACATTCAGGCCGGTAAATGTTAATACTGTTTATTATAAACTTAGCATTTACTTATTTATTTGTATCTATGAAAAAGAATGTAGAATCATAAAAATGTTTTATATATATATTAATAAGGACTAAGTCCGACAACTATTTTAATATATTTCTGTTTATACGTTATTTTTATAGATTCAAATATTTAGATAAATGTTCTGTTTATATTAATAATAATTATATTTAGTCCTTTCTTCTCGCTTTTCTTCGCTACCTTCTGTAGGAGGTTTTGTAGTTTTTCTTTCCTTATCTGTTGTTGAATTATTTTATTCGCACCAGTACTCAATGTGATATATATATATATATATATATATATATATATATATATATATATATATATATATAATTAATATGACCAACCCCAAAGTCCCCAACGGTGGAATCAGTAGATGATGATTACAATAGATCTCAGCCAGCGGATGAAAATGTTAGGCATGGCGGAAATGCTACAGAAGGATCCACTTGAAATTACAACAGTGTCATCGGCGATCCGTTGCCCTTTTATAACTGGATTCTGCAAGTCTCATCCCATATGTGCCGCAGAGGAAGATCATGAAGTCAGATGTGTAGGTCACTTCCCGTTAAGATGAGGTTCACTTTAAATAAATTCACGCCATCCGCACTTTCTTCTAATCTGATTTTCTTTAAACTATAAACCACTTTTGAAAAGGATAGAAGATGAATGGCAGGTGCAGGTTTTGTTAAGACTTGAAGGTTCTAGTCCTGAACTTGCATGTTGGCGGTAGTCATTATACGCCATCATGATAGAGGAGGAAGCAAAGAAATTCAATTCTTAAATACGTGATAAAGCAGACGACGACAAGTAATAAGAAAGAAAATATCCAAATCTTTGAAGATAAAATCTCGTTATTTCATTGGAAGGCTCACTGAATGTCAGAGTGATTTCCTATATTCAACCTTCCTACATTCTACGCATGACCATCTGCTCAAGACCATTTGTAAAGGGCGTTCCAATAACTTGGACCGATTTTAAACTAAATTCACATTTAAAATCTGTCCAAGATATTGGAACACCCTTTATTTATACGACAACGTAAATCACTTCTATCTCGGCGAGCTGATTTCGAATTCCAGTAAAGATCGTTATATCCACTATCGTTACATTATTCGAACCATTGTACTCATCTTTGTTGCCATATTTATCACAACGTTTCGGCCTTTCAGTATCAGTCTATATTTCTGAGATGAGGTATTATGTACACTATTTATATTATTCGGACTATTGTCCTCATTTTTGTTGCCATATTTATTACAATGTTTCGGCCATTCAGTATCTGTCTATATTTCTGAGATGAGGTATTATGTACACTATTTACATTATTCGAACTATTGTCCTCATCTTTTTCGCCATATTCATTACAACGTTTCGGCCTTTCAGTATCAGTCTATATTTATGAGATTTGGTATTATGTACACTATTTAAATTATTCAGAC